TCGCTTGTCAAGTGTGTTTTTCGTTTTTTCCCTCATGACTGAGTGAGTCGATTGTTTATGTTGAATGCAGCAAGAACTGGAGTGGAAACAGAATTACAGACAAGTTAAAACAAACAAGCCCTCTTAGGAAACACATTCTCCGGGCTGACAGTAGGACCAGATGGAGCGGGAGGCCCAGGTTCGCGATGAAAGGGCCCGGCTTCTCCACAGCTTCTCTGTGGTGCTGGTCGCTGAGGGCCCTTCGCTGCCCACGCTGCCTTTGCCCATCGCGCAGCTGTGTTGGCTGTAGTTTGTTCCTCCGGGGAGTCTGAGGCTCGTGTTCCCTCCACCTGTCTCCAGGTGTCTGTGAGCACAGCGGATGTCGTTCCCCACCCTGCTCTCGCCATTCACAGAACGCTGACCCCCGGCCCTGCCCCAAGGTGGAGCACAGGTGGATGCCCACCTCCCCTCCTGCCCCAGGGGGCCTGGGGCCTGTCGGCCTGATTGGCCCCTCCAGGCCTGCACTGCGCCCACTTCTGTCCTCCATTTTGAGTCACTAGAACAGTGGTTCTCAACCTTGGCTGCACATTAGAATCACCTGGGAATCTTTTTAAAATCCTGATTTCCGGGCCTCATCCTCCGGAAATTCTGTTTCTTTGTTATGGGGTGGGGCCACAACATTAGTAACAGAGAAACAGAATTTCCGGAGGATGAGGCCCAGAAATCAGGATTTTAAAAAGATTCCCAGGTGATTCTAATGTGCAGCCAAGGTTGAGAACCACTGCACTAGAAGGAGTATTAATTGAAAAAGACAAGCGTGGCATCCTAATTAGCAGCGTCGGCTGAAACCTCACCTGACTGCGGCCTCGTCCTTGTAATAAGGTGAGGTGCCTGCAGTAGAACTGGTGCGTGGGAAGCAGGAGAGATCGGGGAAGGGGTTCCCTCTGCAACACCGAGGCTGGGGCCCACACTTTATAGCAGCAGCGGCTTCAGAGAAGTAACAGCAAGTAAACAGAAAGCTGAAGTGACCGGGTCACCAGCGATGGGCGGTGTGGGCAGACCCAGAGTCCCTGGACGGGGGGTCAGGAGCTGTGAGCCCATCGGGGCTTGTCCTTCCAGGACACGCCTTGCCAAGGTCACCCTCGGGCACCTCTGGAATGAGTGTCCCCGTCCTGCCAGGTCCCCGGTGGCTGGGGCGTAGCCTTCGCACGGAACACCCACATAGTTTTCCTCCTTCCGTTTTGACGTGGGCAGGAACCTGAAACCGCCTGAAGGAAAGGAAGTTTCCTGGGTATTAATTTCCTGCTTCACGTTACCCAGTACGGTGGCAGGCCTCTGCACGGGCGACCATCCTCCACTCCTCTCTCTGGTGTTGTTTTTTTTTTTAATAGTATTACCATCTCAGCCCCAGAAGTAGAAACTCTGCCAGCATTTCCATTAGAAACCTCATTTTTCAGGGTCTTTTAACTGAGCCATAAAACTTTATTCCTCATATTAAACAGATCCTAAAATGATCTTGGCCTGCTGTCAAGTTTTTTTTTTTTAATATATGTATTAAGAAAACTGATCAATTACTAGTAAAGGGGAAAAATCAATCATCTTATTTCCAGTTTGTGTCGGAGGAATGTTTTAAACCGTTTTGTCCTTGAACGGTACCTTTTATTAGGCTTGCATTGACTCTCCACAGTTACTTGGTAGGGGCTGGAAACATGTTATTTGTGGGAAGAAGAAAGGCACAAAGGTGGTCAGAAATGGCCCGAGGGAGGCCCGGGCACCGTACCCTGCGGACACGCGTGCCCACGTTTGCTCCCCACTCTCCATGAGGCTGAGTCCGCTCCTCTCTAGCGGTCCCCCTTCCGTCTCTGGCCATCCTGCCGGCAGTGGCAGTGGGCCTGTCATCCTGCCCTAACGAGCCATGTACCTGCTCAGCAAACAGGACTAGTGAGTGACCTTTCCCCAAAGTGTCCATTACTGTGGGGTTTTCTTTGTTTCTTGTTGATGGCGCAGGCACTCAGTACGTTCATTCTACGTGATTTAGACGAGTGGGTTTCAAACTGTCTAAAGGTGGAGGAGTTTCCTTGGGCCTCGGCAGTGGGCTGAGAGGGTGGGGCAGCTGAATGCATGACCCCACCCCTGCCCACTTCAGCCAGATCCACATTTACTATTGTTGTATCTTGAGCTTTGGCATAAGATTTTGATTGAAAATATTGGGAAGACCTTAGATCTAGGCTGTAGAGATAGCAAACTGGTAACTTGTTTGACCAGTACATTTGTTTATTTGTTTGTTTGTTTTGTTGTTGTTAATCCTCATCCAAGAATATTTTTCCATTGATTTTTAGAGAGTGGAAGGCAGGAGGGTGGGGAGAGAGAGAGAGAGAGAGAGATCGATATGACAGAGACACATCTATTGATTGCCTCCCGCATATGCCCCAACCAGGGCTGGGGATCGAACCTGCAATCAAGGTATGTGTCCTTGTTGGGGAATCAAACCCAAGACCCTTCAGTGAGTTGGCCAATGCTCTAACCACTGACCCATACCGGCCAGGGCAGGACAGGTTTTGTGGTTGTTGTTTTTAAATGTTTTTATTGATTTCAGAGAGAGGAAGGGAGAAGAAAAGAGGGACAGAAACATCAGTGATGAGAGATTCATTGATCAGCTGCTTCCTACACGCCCCTATTGGGGATTGAGCCTGAAACCCAGGCATGTGTCCTGACCAGGAATTGAACTGTGACTTCGTGGTTCATGGGTCAGTGCTCAACCACTAAGCCATACCAGCCATGTTTTTCCATTGATTTTTAGAAAGAGTGGAAAGGAGGAGGAGAGACAGATAGGGAAACATCAATGTGAGAAAGACACATCGATTGGTTACCTCCCACACATGCCCTGACCAGGGCAGGGGGTTGAATTGAGCATGCAACCAAGGTACATGCCTTTGAATGGAATCGAACCCAGGACCTTGTGTCTGTGAGCTGACGCTCTATCACTGAGCCAAACCGGCTAGGGCAACAGTACAGTTTTTTCCTGGGCAGGGAATTTACTGGCTCCGTGCTAGTGGCCTCCACTCCTGACCTCTTGCTGCAGCCAGTTGCCTGGCTCCTGAAGGCATTTGAGCTGCCACTGACCGTGCCAAAGCTGAGAGGGAGGTCATGGGTAGCACCGCTGCAGAAAGTGCTGATCTCAAGTCCTCACTTTGACCGTTAGGTTTGTCACCGTTGCGTACTCGAAGCTCTAACCAAAACTGTATGCTCCGGAGATATGACAGAGTTTTTCCTCTGGTTCTCCCTGCCCTCGTTCACAGCGAAGTGCCAACACGGGGGAAATGGCCCAGCAGCGGACTTGTGGCTGGGTGGGAGGAGAAGCCAGGAGCCTGGGTAATTAGAAAATCATAGCTGTCAGAGCTGGAAGCAGACCTCAGAGTGGCCAGCCCCTCATTTGTTGATGAGGACAGTGGAGCCCGGAGCAGAGGGAGGCCTTCCTAAGCCCAGCTCCTGAGTGGCAGAGCCAGGTCCGGGCAGGGCCGCCACTGCTGGTTGCTCCCCACCCTGCCTCTCGGCCCTGAGTAAAGAGGGCTGATCCCCCAGCCTCGTTCCCAGGCTTGTCGTGCCTAGGCCTGTGCTGACTAATCCATTGGCTTCTCTCAGGAGACCAGTCGGGGGATGAGAGCATCACTCAGATGCTAAAGCGAGCCCACGACTGCAGGAAGACGGCCGAGAACGCGGCCAAGGCCCTGCTCATGAAGCTGGACGGCAGCTGCGGGGGTGCCTTCGCCGTGGCCGGCTGCAGCGTGCAGCCCTGGGAGAGCCTGTCCTCCAACAGCCACACCAGGTAACTGGGCTTCTGTGAGGTGGACATGTGTCCACGTGTCATCTGCTCACTGGGCGTGGCACACAGTGGCCAGGCTCGTGGCAGGAGGGGGGTGGGTGGAAGGCGTGGGTGAGGGCAGATTCTCTCCTGGCCTGCAGCCTGCTCCCTCCAAGGGGGAGTCAGAGTGGGAGGGTTAGAAAGGGCCTTCTCATTTGTGGGAACTGCAGCCCAGAGAGAAGGTGATTTGTTCAAAAAAGTGGTAGGGATGGCACCCACACCGGCCTTCCTGTCGGGGTTTTCTCCTGTGTTGTTTTGTTTTTCTGTTTTCCGTTTCTTTATAGTGATTGATTTCCCAGGAGCATTTGGGACAGCTATTTGTTGCAAATAAACCCTAATCACCTGAGGCCCAGACCCCTGCACCGTTTCTAGGCCCTGTCCTCTCCCTTCCTCCTGAGTCTCTGTCCTCTGTGAGCTTCTCCCGGGAAATAGCGGCCTCCTGGCCTCACCTCTTGTCTCAGGGGTGACGCCATCTTCATAGCACGTGCTTAACAGATGCTTGATCATGAGCCTGAGTTCAGGTCTGTGCATCTAGAAAACTGAAGTGAGTACTTGAGATGAGGAGGACCGCAGTGAAGACCTGCCATGCATAATCTGCTAGAGCTTTCGGATTCTTCTGGATGAGGGGTGGGGGCGTCCATGAAACTTCTGAATGAAACCTTTTCTAGTGATCTGCTCTTTGCTTGCCACCGAAGCCCTAAAAACATGAATGCCTTCCCTTTCCATACCAGCTCTCAGTCTAGGAAGTACTTTGTTAGGAATTCCTACATGATAACTAAATCTTAAAAGACAAGAGGGGTAACGTACCCCCATTTTCACAGGTGAAAAAACCTGGGCTTAGAGACATGTAAGCGACTTGCCCATATAAGGTCACAGGGCTGGTAGACCAGAGGGAAATCAGGGCTCAAACCAGGACTTCAGCACCAAGCGTATCATTGTTCCCACTCTACCAGGTTGGACCTCATGACATTAAAACACAGTGTGTCCTGCCGGCGAGGCTCAGTGATTGAGCATCGACCTATGAACCAGGAAGTCACAGTTCGATTCCTGATCAGGACACGTGCCCGGGTTGTGGGCTCAATCCC